ATATCCAGTATATCACGTTAGGTAACCTATTTTTTAGTATTAGGCAGTATATCCATCAAGTCGGTCATCTTAAGTCTTTTTTACATTAAATCCTTATTTGAAATTGCCCTTTTTCATGTAATAAGATACATACGTTTTGGGACGTTCCGGTGGACTATCCCGAATAAAAATGGGAAGCTTTCAAGTCTTAATCAAGACTTTCAATAATAGTGAAACTGACATGACTGACAAGCCTGTATTCATGAAGTCATGCAGTAAGTTACACTAAAAGTAAGCTAAGTTAGACAAGTCCACGGTCGCGCCTGGTGGAAAGCGATGATGCGGTCTACGATGGAGCACGTATAAATAAAAATATTTATAAATATTTGTTGTAGTATTTCTCCAAAATAAAATTTAGTATCATAACATAAATATAACAATTGAATTATCATCTACATATAATAGAATTCCGTAAACTATAACATATGTATATCCTGTAACTTTATGTGACGCTAATCTGACGTAGATAATACTTATTCAATATGTTTTACTAATTCAATTAGACCCCATGACATAAGAGGTAAAGGGGATTGACTCCTTCTTATTTTTGGTCATACTCGTCATTTCAGTTTACGTCAAACAGCCTAAGAAACGGTGTTTTTGTTTAACTGACACCTTTTTGTTAAATGACGTGAAGGAAACGTACTTAAATAGAATTGTTTTTTGTAAATAGGTTAGGTGCAAATGTTTTACATGAAGTTTTTAGGATATTTTGTTACTGAATACATTGTAAAGAAAATAGCTACCTACGTGTTCATTTTAAAACTATCTTGAGACATACTAAATTAATAATTATGTTTTCGGTTAAATACACAGTTACGTGAGTAAGCCGAAAACATAATAATTAAGCTACGTCTTCTTTTAAACATTTAATTATGGAGTTTCATGCTCGTCCTTCTCCATACGCATCTACAAGCACAATTTGAAACTAACACCTTATAGCTTCACTGGTTGACAGTCTGCCAGGTTCTAATTTAACAATTCAAAAGTTCCTGTGTGTACATTAATTTGAATAAATATTTCGACTGACATTTCCGTCAACTTTAAAGTTCAGAGGAAGACTATCATCCTATTATGAGTCAAGAACTTGCATAGAAAAGACCTCGAGGGGTCTCGCGTTCGATTCCCGGGTCGGGCAAAGTATTAAAGGGTTTTTCAAAAAAATCACAGTAGTAGCACGGAGTTTCGAATTGTGCCCGGTATATGGCAATAGGCTCACCCCCTATTACATGGACTCATAACATAAATAGTGAAAAGTGGGTGTTACATTGTGCAGTGGCATTATGTACACCTCGGCCTATCCCTTCGGGGATAAAAGGCGTTAAAAATAAATTCGTTGATTCGTGTGAATTATTTAAACCAGTATTCCCTTATTAATATTTTGTTATGAAATCAGGAGGAGAATTTATATTCCAGGAATATTTTTATTTATTATTATTATTAAATTCCTTCGCAGGATTATAACAGTTATTTCGTCATTAATATCACCGGGGATGTAACTCAGTGGTAGAGTGTCTGCTTCGCATGCTGAAAGTCCTGGGTTCAAATCCCAGCATCTCCAAATCTTCTTTTTGCATTTTAACAAGTCGTATTGTATACGTTTTTACTACTGATATTGTTTTTCTCATGTAAACATTTTTTTTTCAGTATTTATTGGGCATGTATTTAATAATTACTATTAATTACTTTCATAAGCACTTCAAATATGCAATGTTAGTAAATTAACACGAAAAAAATTAATAAAACAATTTTAACTTAAAATATAAAACGTTTGCTTCATTTTTTGTGTATCAAACATAAAATATTTATATCATTAAGTTTAAACCCAAAAATATTATTAACTGAATAAAAATTGGGTTTAGGATTATCTTTTGTTTGGTATGTTCGCACAGTAAATAATACTGTACAACTATAATTGTTTATAATTAATTATTGCCACATCATTCAATGTTTTATTTAAAAAATTGCATCATATTCCACACCAACCTTCATATTGATCGTATACTTTACGAGACAACTACCGCCATCTATCGATTAAGTCCACCACGTTAAAAAGCTAAAGTTGTGCACAGCGCCATCTATGTTTTATAAAGAAAACTTTATGCAGTTTACAATTTTATTTACTTTGTATTGTATTAGATTGAAAATAATAAATTGTGGTATAGCAATTCCGTCCGCATATAGGTAGTATATAGTCCGCATAAGGAACTCTTTAGTAAGAAGCAACCAATATCGTTTAAAAGGAATAAACTTTAATAAACTTACAAATATAACAAGACAAGAAAATATATATATATCGAAATAAAACAAGTTTTTGGAATAATATTTTAATGAAAATTCAACTAAACGTATAAATCTTATTTATACTTACAATAAACAAGTAAAGTGGATAAATATTTACATTCAGCTGGGGTAAGACCCTCGCATATGGTGGGTCCCCCCAAAATTGCACTAACAAAAATATGGAAGCCCATATAGACTTCCTTTTCGTTCGGCAGCTGGTTAAGAAACGAAAATTATTATTAGTAACTAAATTAATTACTTGATAAAAAAACAATGTTTAATGTTCCCACAAAAGACTGTACAATATAAAGGCATATAAAGGTCTTAAGAACATTGTACTTACTTATAAAAACAAAAACCCTCTGGAATCAAACCAATCCTTACTTCAGGTAATATGATAATATCGAACTGTGTACTAATAAATTATTAGATATTCTTCAATTGGTTTGTAAGGCTTTTGCTTCCGCAAGACACTTATTACAAAGATTAATTCCCAGCATTAACTACCAGCATCAACTATAAAATAATTAAACAAATACACCCACATTTAATGAACTCATACAAAATACGAGTCAAAAATACTAGACTTAACATTATAAGCAGCACTGATAAACTGAAAACCTAGGCTAGAAGTCTCGATATAGTAATAATAGCGTCTGAAATCGGTTGCCAAGTCGAAGATTTCCCTAAAAGACTTTCAACTTTATCACATAAACATGGAATAGAAAATCTCATAAAGAAATTCACAACTTAGCAATCGATTTCAGTCCTTTATAACTGTCGAGACTACTAGTCCTAATGTTTATTGTTTTGCTATCATCGAAAACGATGACATGAACGAGTGATGACCAGAATATGAAAACACTGAACCAGCAACCGAACGAAGAACAGTATAACGAGTAAACATTGTATAAGTTAATTATTATAAGATATAATAATAACGCAGTCTTAGTACGCCGTGGCCACTGTTCGCCCTTACCCTAGTGAGACCGCTCTAGTATATACTACGGCGCTACTCGATACATACGCTACACACAGAGGGCGGAAAGAATGGAGTGCACCATGCTACACCTCCCCAAACAGTACATGTAATATAACATCATCATGTTCTTCAGATGAATTGTTAACAGATGGTACTCCATTCCTTCTCTTCTCTCCGTCGCTACCCCAAGAACATCTAACCTGTATGTGCGACCGTCGTTGTAGCATTACTGAGAGATATGGCACTAATTGTTAATATTGCTTATTTAGACGAACATTTGCAAAATATTGATTCGTATTCAGAATAAAATGTATCAAAAATTGTCTCCATTAAAGGAGAAATACAAAATCTACGGATATGTGGTCGTTACTGTCGCAGTAGAAATGTAAGAAAAGATGAACACAAGCATGAACTAAGCAATGGTGTTTCTGGTACAATAATCACATTTTCCAATTGTTCGAATATTCAGTATAGCTACAGAACGACGTCATTTACCATCTAATCTAGATACTACTAATAAAATGACGCTACAAGTATTATGGAAGATAATGAAAGTGGCCTCGCCTACACGGAAATAACAATACTACACTAACTAACTGACAGATAAACTGACTAGAACTTATGGAGGGACTAGAGAAAAGGAGTATTTGGAACAACTAACTGCCGTTCACGCTCTAAATAGATGGGGGACTTAAGACCAGTGCACATTGACTAGACGGGGTTGATAAAGTTCAGAACTTTGGTGTACCTATTTGGGATAAATATTTAATGTAAAATTATCAAGAAACAATCTAATATTTCTTCAGAAGATCTTGAATGTGGCAGGTCTCATGTTGAAAGTCTATTACTCAACAAGCTATATGAAGCTTTCATAGCACTCAATTTGCGTGTCTGATGAAAGTGTATCTTTGGTAACGAACGAGAAGAAACCAGCGTTTCTATAAATAAAAAAGATCCCTATGTGCACTAGACTCATAAATTACAAAATAATTGACAATAATGTAAACAAACAATAAACAACTTAACAAGATGGTACAATAGATAAACAAAAAACAGATGACTATCACGATGTGAACGAAGACGTTGGCAAAAAAGGGAACAATCACGATATCGATCTGCGAAATCCACTAACAATGAGTATTTTTCGCAAAAGATGTAAACAACAGTTTATATTTAAATGCTCAATAAGAACGCATTTTCAAACAGTAGAAGTATAAAAATTCTGCCAACAAATAACAGACAATGTATAACTACAATATACGCTCTGCTCTCGAAAACCGTATATAAAATAGCTTCACTTTTAAATTTCTATTGCTGACGTTCAAAAGTGTCTTCCTGGTCTAATTGAAATAAATGATTTTTGACTTTTTTTATTATGGAACATTTAAGGTAGGAAAGCTAGCAAATTGGATGAAGGATATAGAGGTTGTAGTACAAGAAGCAAAGATTTCATTCAAGAGATAAAGAAGAAGTATCTACATTACATTCCTTCCTATTATTGTCCTTCACTACATTCCACCCTAGACACAAACGAGAGCAGTGTGATGATTTCTAAAAATAATCAACTACCATATCATAAAAAATCTTTCAAAAATGTTGGCATCAGAGTTGCGTGAACTGGCATCAACTACTTGATATTCTAATAAGAAGGTCTAATACCTAGGAAATGCGGGACGGGAAGGGGACAGTTTGGCGGCTATAGGGAGTCCAGTCGTGTCCGTTGCACCGCTAGTAGAGCCGATTGCTGCTGCAGACTCTTGCGAAGACCTTCCAACGTTTGAAGAACCTGATTACAAAAATATATAATTAAAATACAATTTGCACACTTCTTGAGCCTCAGCCATTGCTATGCTATGCTATGAGTTATATGAGTAGGTGTAAGATTACATGAGCAACATTTTATTCAGTAGCAAAATATTTAATAACCATGTGTTCCCAAGTATTATTAATTTCCAGTTTTCTAGACTAAAGAAATAGAAATGCTAGAAAAATATTACCTTATTAAGTAAAACTAACAAGACAATTAAAATCATTCTCAATAACAAACCATTAAATCATCTAAATAAATAAAACGTGCGAATAAGACTGACCTCATCCCGAGCATAAGCCTTCCTTTTGGGGGGCTCGGAGTGGGGTCTGTCTGTCGGCGAGGGAGGAGTGAGCCGTCGTGCCACCGGGGGTGGTGGCGGAGCAGCCAGTGGGGAGCGCCTCGCGACAGGGGACAAACGACGAGGAGGCTCGGGGGAGTTTGCACGCATGAAGTTCGTAATATGAGTACGCTCTGGACTTCTACGGGGAGCTTCCACCTGACAACACAAGGTTTGGGCGATTGTAACACTACAAAATCGATAAAATATCAAACGAAATGGTAGTATAATTTGTAGTCAACATGCATCGAAAATAAGACACAAAGATAATATAATACTAATCAGAGATATAGTAAATTTATTGCTATAAGTAATCAAATACAGAATTTTGCAGGCTTTCAAATTTACAAATAGATAGAAACAATCTCAATAAAATCTCTAGGTGCCTATAATAATTATGTAGAGCTAACTTAAAATAAAGTCGTTAAAAATCCATCTCACCTCAGTAGCCCTCAACTCCCTAACTCTTGGATTGTGCGGTGGTTCAAGCGGTGCTCGTGACACAGTGACCAGTAATTTCTCCGCTTCCCTGATGAGTTCCCTGTACTTCCTTTCTGCCTCTCTGTCAGCCTCCAGCAAAGGATCTCGTTCTCGAACTGGTGGGGCTGAAGGTGCGTGGTTGCGTCTACGCATCCGTGGCGGCGTGGCTCCTGAAAACATGGCTAATAAATTTAAACCATATAGGTATGTTTGTATTCATAAACCAAGGATAATGTTACTGTGAACAAAAAGCAAGCAAAATAAATAATTAGTGAGTAATATTCATAAAATATTTTGTAATATCTCGATTGATATACGATATTATCATCTCTATATCAGGACAAAGTAATAAAAAGAATTCAAATTTAAAAAGTTCGCAAGTTGAAATTGATTAATTGGTTACTTAGCCATTCCATAGTCATTCTTACCTGCCGACCGCGGTGGTCGTCGCGGAGGCCTTCGTCTCCTTGCCCTTCGTCTTCCAGGCGAGGCAGTTTCATCATCATCTTCATCTCCACCATCTAGTCCAGTGTCTCCATCAGAATCGAAGTCAGCATCAGATAATATGGCGGTCTCTCGACCTCTGGCTCTCATTCCCCTGCACTCTTCGTCACTGGAAGCTCCGCCGCGATAGTAAGGTGATCTATGAGGCTCTGGTGATAAGTGAGGGGAGAGGTGCGGTGATCTGAAATTAGGTGGTGGTGCTTGAGTTATTTAGTCGCCATACTTTTTTTTTATGGAATAGGAGGCAAACGAGCGGACGGATCACCTGATTGATGGTAAGCGATCAGCGCCGCCCATGGACACCCACAACACCAGAGGACTCACAGGTGCGTTGCCGTCCTTTTAAAAAGGAGTACGCTCTTTTCTTGAAGGTTGTTATCTTACAGTTCTTTTCTTACATACTTACATCATGTTACGTATTGCAGTTAGTTATTAACAGTTATACTTACGGCATGCATCGCGTCCATGTCATGCCAATAAATCGACTCAAATTCAATGACAATAATAACAGAACCATTATTTGTGTTTTATTTTACTACATGATCAAAATCAGTAAATTATTCCTACTATCTAACTCAATCAGAAATGCAAATATCCACGTTGACTTAACAAAGCGTCGAGTATAATTGAATTATCATTTAACTTCGTAAACACAGGCCCACTGACCTAGTTTATGTAATTGTTACCATTTAAATAGAGCAGGTAACTTTGTGTATTACCTATTGTGTTTACTTTACATTACTACTCGCCAATAGAAACGGTAGTTCTTATTCCTTCCTATGCCGATTCCTATCCAGTTAGTGTGAACTAATGAATTTAGTAATAAAAAGGCCACATGCTTAGGCGTGTCATATATGCACGTACTGCTCTGCATATCTACAGTGACGTAACTACAGGGTGGCAACTCGGGAAAGTACCACGGGCCCCGAGCCGGGACGAGCCCCAGTTCAGTGATTCGCATCTGAACTATAGTTTTTTATATTGGAAAGAGGGGCTAATCCAGTTAATTTTTCACTGGCCCCGAACGGTATAGTTAAAAGTTTAACATTAAAAATAATAAAATGGTTTAATAAAAGAAAATGCCACGAAATAGCCACGATAAACAGTTACAAATCATTCGATTCTGGCTACTGAAATTGAATATAAAGACGTAAAACTAATGACACAAGTATAATTCCAACTCACAACCTCTACTTACATGCCATAACTATAAAAAAACAATATACAAATTAAATGAAACTTTACCTCGACCCATACTTGACATGGGAATCAAGTGAATATGGAGCATGATGTAGTTGCGGTTGTGTTGTGGGTGGGCACTGCAGGGATTGCTGATGCACTATATTCTGAGGTCTTCGCCTGCTGGGTGAAGTTGCCCCCATCCACGGGTTGGTTCTGATCCGACATCGTGGCCGAGGAGATGGTGTCGCACATACTACTACGGGTACCGGTGCTGGCTCTGGTATGCAGCGACGGACGACCACGTTAGAACGACGCTGCTGGAATTTGAAAATTAAATGGTTTTAGGTATGTGTTTTTATTAATTGATTATTTTGCTTCCTCCGGGAGACACGAGGCGTGATTTTATTTATGACGATATTCTACAGAAGTTTATAATAATAATATTCATTTGATAGTAAACTATGCTTGAATTACTGATGAATTTATTTCGTAAGTCTCTGAAACAGCTTTAACGAATTATATTTTTATCTACAAAAATTAGCATTTAGCGTACGTACATAGTATGTGCATACAATAATTACATAGTTATTACTATACATAGCGGTTGTACTTTTTATAAAAATGTAAACTAATCCTATAAATATTAATAAAACTTTTACTATACTTTAATATAAGTCAATAAAGTTACAAATATTAATACTTATACTTATATAATAACTTTGTCTACAGCTTTGAAAAATAAAAAGCGTGATGTTAGTGTTAAACTATGTTTATATTTATGAAAGCAATAATACTGAAAATATTAACATCTGCAACTGTACCTACATATTATTTTAGCTACTAGCAAGAAGTTGTACAGTTGTAAATTGCAATGTCAATTATTTCAGGATAACGATTTTTTTTTCTATCAACGAGCCCCCTATGAAGTAAGGGGGCATTTTCAAAAATTGCGCTCGGACTCCCTGACGGCAGCCGGGCGCGGGTATACAAGAATTAACTTGCGGGTGTCAGCATAAGTGCTCTCACTTTACGATCACTGCGCACTATGCTCCCCGAGACAAGGAAAGTCACTGAGCGCGCGGCGAACGCGGCGGAGACCTAACCCAACCGCTGTAACCAAACGATAGCGCGATTCAATTCGACGCTAACGCCATCTAGTTAGGAATATGGAAACTCGTGCTAGATTGTAGGCGTTTGTTTCGAAGCGTGTTCTGTGTTTTTTCGCAAGCTGTGGTTTTGTAAACTGTGTTCATATTTTGACAATTGATGCTTAAAGAATTTTTAAACATAATTTAGATCTTTCCTAAGAGTCAGAAGCAGTAAGTACACTGCTAAACAACATAACATAAAACCTTTTAATCACCGAAGGGATAGGCAAAAACGCACATATAAAATATCACGCCCTCTTTCATCCATTATGAATGGGTAACAATGAGTACCATGTCCCATTCCATAAATTAAATAAGGTACAAAATAACTTGATAATAAAATTATAAACAAACATTTAACAACGTTTGTCGAGTGGGGTCAAAGTTTCAGGTTCGATTTCCGGATCGGAGAAAGTATTACTGGGTCTGAAATTTATTTTTTAATTTTGTTTGTTTGTACGCGCTAATCTCCGTAACTACAAGTCTGATTTGAATAATGCTTTTTGTGTTGGATAGCGTATTTATCGAGGATGGCTATAGGCTATAAAAGATCGCGCTACGACCAATAGGAGTTGAGCAGAGCGTGTGAAATCGTGCGGAAGTAGCTAGTTTAATTAGGACTCATAACATAACTGAAGAAAAATGTGTGAGTATCAATATTTATCTCTGCCTACCCCTTCAGATATGCAAAGGCATAACGTCATATTATGTGACATTTAACATAATACGCAGATAAGTTAGTACCTCTATAATTGAAACTGTTGTCGGGCTGGCCGGCTTTAAATAGCCCTGGAGGTCCACCCTTCAATTAGTACGGTCTACTTCATTAATAAAACGCGGGTCCGTACATAAGCACTTGTGGACCAATGAACGCAACTTATATGAGGCTCCCGTACTAAAGTTATTGAAGTTTATTTCATATTTTATTATTACTAGTTTTGTGTTCGTAAGTTTTTATAAACATTTCTATGTAAAAGTTTAATTCGTAATCTATTCGTTATCGAATGCCTTTAATTTGAGTTTCATGAATGTGTTTCGTCGTATTTTATTTATGTCATCAAAAACGTTTGTTTTAATATCTAGAGGTACAATAATAACATATATAACTACTAACTCCTAACACTTATATGGTGTTAATTGTCTAGTAGATAAATCCCCAAATTTTCAATCCCTGGGAAGCTTGTATCCCATGTACTGTTGAGAGTGTCTTTGGCAGCGCCGATTACTTACCATAACATAACATAACATCACGCCTTTTTATAGGTATGGTAGGCATAGGTGAACATTACGGCACTTAATGCCACTGTACAATGTAACACCCCCTTTTCACTATTTATGTTATGAGTCCTATGTAATAGGGGGTGAGCCTATTGCCATATACCGGGCACAATTCCAGACTCCGTGCTACTACTGAGATTTTTTTTAAAACCCAGTAAGTAATACTTTGCCCGACCTGGGAATCGAACCCGAGACCCTTGCCGGATCGTACTTGCGATCACTCGGCCACAATTTACTTACTACGAGGCTCATTTACCGCTATTACTATGCCATAAAAAAGTGAATCATATTACAAAAAAAACTTAAGTACAAAATCCCAATGCTCCAAAGCCAACACTGCATTTCCTTCTCACTCTGTCCTCTCACGTGTATATGTTGTCATATTAAATTCAAAATGTCAATATTGTCTTTGTGTCTGATGGACGGATCAAAATGGATTAACTGTGCGGTTAATTGAAAACTGCGCGTGAATAAATTACACGTGTCATTAATTTCATTTGTTTACTTTGGATGCATCGAGTTAATGTCCATAATCTGTGTATATCGGTGCAAATGAATAATTAAATCAGATTATTAGATATTTATCAATATAAAAAATTGTATTGTGCCATATAAAAAATTAACTAAAAAGGGCAGCCAGTACCTAAGTAGGTACTACAGTTACCGTAGTTACAAAAGTGTCTTATTGGTCTAATTAAAATAAATTATTAGATTTTTACAGCGAATATAACACTGATACATTTGCCAAAATGAGATCAGATTTATAATAAAATTATTTAATATACAGTATATGTAATGTCTTACATCTCGACACGTAAGAGTCGATATTGCGCAATCGTCCCGCCCTGAGACCCTCATCATAATATAATTCCTTATAATCTTTGCAACTATCTACATTTCAGTAACCGATAGGAGTTTATTTACAGTTCGATTATTGTTCATATGTTCGTACGTGAGGCGTAGGTAGCTAGTAGGAAATATAATGCCGTCGGTTCCGGTTGTCAAACAAAGATCTATGAGTGTTCAGTCCAACATGGGTTCGAGTTAATCTCGTAGTACCTCTAGAGGAGTTGAAAAGTCATAATAACTTTCAAGTAAAGTCAATCTCTTATTTCATGATGTTTAAACCTAAACCGTTGGGAAAATATGAGTAAAGCTAGGCATCTATTAGTTAGGTATATATCTCTTCTTGTTCCGATTTGTTCACGGGCTTGGACGAGGCAGTGAACCTAATAAAATATTTGCGCATTGAACCTAATAAAATTTACGACCTTTGGACAATTTTCAGGTTTACATCATAGATAATTTTTTATTTATTTGAGTACCTATGGAGCTATGGCGCACTGCATAAAATTTTATTTCACCCTACAAAACTTGCATTAAAATTTAAATCCGAATTCTCGTAAAAAGTTTACATAGGAACCACTAATTCATATTTAAAAGGAACGGTCCTTACATCAACAAGGAGTAAACCCATAATAGAGATTATTCTTGGGCCCACCGGCAGGCTGTTTGCCAAACTGTTTAAACTCTCATTTCAGGGATACACGCGGCCTAAGCCGCTATCCAAAAGTACTTTATGGGTAAATAAATATATACTTATATACCTTGGCTGGTTCGTGGTAGAGATGTGTGGTCGGTGGCGCAGGCGGCGGCGGTGGGGCTACGAGCGGAGCGGCGAGCGGGGCCGGTGCTGTTCCAGGAGAAGTGCCATCCGTCGAGTATCCCGTGCTGTACGCACTCTCCGGCGAGGACAGATGAGGAGGCGGCAGAGGCCCTGTGGTCGTAGTTGCCGCTGTCTGACGCGCCTGCTTCTGCTTACGCTTCTTGGCCCGCCCCAGCTGCGCCTCCATCCATGACTTGAGCCGCGCGCCCAACATGCCGACAACGGCACCTATAACAAGTAAGTAAGTAGTCATGTCTATCTACTTCGTGCACGCTCACAATTTAGAATGCAAATACATTACTTTTTCAGATATTGCGCAAAACTTCTATCCAATATTATCAAAGCACGAACATTGTTCATGTCATCGAATTTCATAACCAAAGATTAAAGGGGAAAATCAAACATCATTTCGCAAAAGGAAAGTTCACTGTGTCGTGAACATTGGCAGGTACGTGCCAACGTGCGTCACGTCATTTACGCCTCGGTACACGAGAAAAACATTTTCGTCCGCGACACTTGAACAAAGGTTTTGGGGAAATACATCAGACGCTCGACGAGCACCGAAACAATTGCTACCCCACAACGGCCGCTCTACATTTCCCTGTCATCCAAACCAACGCAGAGAAGTAAACAAAAGTGGCGACATAAAATGTATTATCTTGTTGTCATTTCATTGCAAAGAAAATGCCATTAACGGGTATCCGTGGGGCTCGCACCAACCAGTAAGTACTATACAGTACTGATGCGAGCCCTCGTGTCATATTTCAAGAAAGACTAGCGACGCTCGTAAAAAAGGGCGCAGTCGGCACACTCTTCATTTCCATCAGTAGCACATCTTACAAAAAGTAAGAATTATACCCAGTATCTATCGTCACGATATGTTTAATCAACCAGAGTACTGATTCCCGATAAGTAGGGTAGATAAAGCGCGAAGACAAATTGTTATTAGACAGCTGGATTCAAAGAGCTATAAACAATCCGAGCCTCGAAGAGCGGCCAAATCCAAAACAAACTATAAAAGATAGGCGATGCAATTTCCGCTATAAAAATAAAAACACGTTTAGGTTAAAATTAAAAACTTTTATTTTGACATCCCAAATTAAATTTAACGACATTAATATTGACAATTCCTTTATCTAATTTCAGTTTATTGTTCCAATTTATTCAAATTACACTTACTTTTATATGCCAACTTGGAAGTCTTTGCGTGTTGGTTGGGTGCTCAACGTGTGAGCATTGTTTTAATGTACCTCGCCATTATTTTAATTCTCGTAATTAAGTTGAGTGTTTTAATTGTGATCATTTCGCCACTCGTAAACTATGCTGGAGTTTGGTGTCCTGTGGCCGGCGGCTGTTTCTTTGTGGGTACGCGTCGGAATGAATCAGAGCTCAGCAGAGTTGTCACTAAAACTGTCTTTGTTTGACAATCAAAAATGTGAAATAACCCCCAATTAATTAAAAAAAAAGAGTAAACGTCAAAAGAGACTAACTCTTATAATTGCTTTTTTACATTTTGTTTGTATGTATATACATGTACTATCGGTTATATATGTTATTCTATTCTCAATTTTTCACACACACACACACACACACACATATTCAGCTAAATTTATATTATTTATACAACTGCATGTTTATTTTTTGTCTTCATTGAGGGGCGGCACCGCCGTCCGTGAGTCACTGCAGGGTGCCACCTGAAAACCAGCGTTGGGCACAAACGTCCAACTTTATGCTGAGGTGGAGGCCCTTTTGGCATTAGCACGCGCAAATTAAAATTAATATTATTATTTTGTTTATTAGATTTTTTTTTTATTGTTTATTCAAAATTCTGTATGTATTGTATGTATTCTGTAGATGTATTTTTATTTTTTTATATTCTTTGTTTTCTGTGCGTGTAATTGCCAAATAAATGATTTTTCTTTCTTTCTTTCTTTCTTTCTATAATAACCACTTTTTGAACTAGATATACACAAGACTATTAAGCCGATGCGAGCAAAATCCAACTAAAAAATGACTGACCCCTCAATCTACTTGGATCGCAATCAATCATCAATATCCTTCATTCAAAAACCTATTACTCACTTTGGTACCCGCCGCCGGGCCGCTGCCGCTGTACGAGTGTACGTATACATGCTAGTACTTAACTAACGTTTCGACGCTCCAACCCTCGCTGGGCTGTGGGAAACGAATCGTCGGATAAAAGACGGATGGAACAGACTTATCTAGTTCACCGAGGGGTGTAAACTTACGAGATTTAGCTAATATTAGCAATCCATTACGGGGAGGCCGCAGTTGGAAAGTTTATTTAACTATCAATCCGCACTCGGAACTATGCGCTCGATAGCTCAGCGCTGATGAAATATTGATTGAACCTCTTAGCGATACACGTTTCACTATTAATAGCGGATTATGTAGATGTCAGAACAATGCAGTGTGCGTGAGGTGAGGATTTAGAGATACATTCATATCTTATGCGTAGGTAATACGAATGTGTCTTAATAATTTATGTGGTAAGAACTTGGTGATCTCCCCAAAGGATTAAAGGAATATTGCTTTTAACACACAAACTTGTAAGAAATATAAATGAAGAGAGAAATATATTTCATTTGAAGTGTTCCCAGTTCCCATTAGATTCGCGGTTAAGTTCACTTTGATCATTCGTTTTTGAAATCCACATAACATAACATGTCATATCATGTAGCACCTTAACGCCACAACCGTTGAATCCTCCCCTGAGGGTTTAACACAGGCGTTGAAACCGTCTTTTCCACAGTTATGTGTAAGGGGAAATGAAATAGAGGGTGAGGCAATTATCCTGTATTGGACTGCGCTGGCTGGTTGGTTTTTAACTGCTTACACACAGCGGTAGTTTGAGAATTTGAAAAGCATTCTTATGTTCAAGAAACATGTAAATGTTTGTAAGGCTGTAAACAAAGCAATATTTTCAAAGACCCTATACAAAAAGTTCGACCATTTGTTTAGAACAATATAAGAAAAGGAAAAACCAGATCAAACAAACAGAAACTATTTACGAGCACACTTGTCGCATACAATAAAAGGTTCAATAAACCTCCAGAGTCTTCCAATAAGATGTTTTACGAACCACAAGCTCAGCTTGAGTAATGAATCGAAAGCAAACTAATAAATTGTGGGTTCGAGACAAAGTATCCAAGTTTGTCGCAGATCCCTTTTTCTATCGAAACAACTTAAACAAATGTGAAGGCGGCGAGGAACCGAATCGCCTTATCAATAAAACTGTCACCGTACCCAGTGTATGTACATGTAAATAGCTACGTAGTTTTCCCCAACTTTTAGTTTTTTGTTCGACTAAAGTTTTAACTGGCCCTGTCCCTTTTGTTATCTTGTTTGCGGCTTTGCTAGCAAACTGATCTTACTTGGTTTGATTTAGTTTTTGAGTTCGGTAGTGTTGAGTCTCATACAATAACATGTTGTTGTAAAGTTTTCCAATTTGAAAATCGGACGATAGGAATGACATGGCTCTAAAATCGACTCAGAGTGTTTGATTGTCTAATGATTAGATAATTAATTATGTAACAGATGTAAACACGCCATCAATTGATCAATTAATGAGAACTTCATAAGATTCACATATCACAAAACACCAGTTGATTGTGGTTAAATCAACCAATTACGTAAAATAGCTCCCATTTCAGTCTTTTATTCTCAATGTAATCAATTTCGAGAACATTCGACCATAGATTTCCACATGATGGCATCTCATCACTGAAATCACGTCATGATACTTTATTCTTTTCATATAATCTTCAATAATGTCCGCCATTATAGTGAACAAACGGATTGAAAGCGAACAATTCACCCGACCGATACCAAATTGGAATACCGTCATGTCGAAGGCAACATTGAATGAACACCACATTAAGGTACCCATAGTTATTGGAAATTGAACAAGGTTCGATGTCTATTGTCCCGAAATACAATCGTATTGAAACTGAAATATGACGTCAGCTATGAGAGGAATTAGGCTGTAATGTTGTGAACCATTATTTGCAAGCGCAAATGGACCGGTGATGATCAAATATTTGTGTAATACCTAAATTGGCTAATGGCAGACCTATTAGGATGTGAACTGTGTGAAGATAAGTTATCGATTATTTTGTTAGTTTAGGTACCATGTCAATGAGCAACAAATTGTTAAGCAGTTATTACTGTTATCAACGGATAGTCTACTGAGACTATTAAACTACTGGCTACGTTGGTACGTAAATACGCTGCTAAGAAAAGAATCGTAAATGGCTTATGGACATATCAAGACGCGTGTATGCGGCGGACACGAGGCGATGTACATCATGATGTGAAGGCGCCTTTACAAAGCAGTTATAGCTATAAGTAAAAGAGTGACAATGTCGCCAGAGAGAATAATATTTTCCGTAGTAAGCACTTTTTTCTGTTTTTACATTTGTACCCCCTACGGCACGGTATTCAATTTACGGTTTATGTTTGCAGGTGAAAAAAGACACCAATAAATTATTTTACCATTCGAAGATGTGAAAGTATATTTGTGTAAATAATTTTAAAGTTTCATAGGCTAGATGTAAAAGCCTAAGCGCTGAATTGTTAATAAAGCTTCATTTTCACTAAAACTTTCGCACCACTTCTATAGATATTATTTATTCAAAACATAAAGCGAACAATCAACAAAGTGTATTCTTGAGAGGAGTTTAATTTAGAGGACCTATTGTTCGACGTTTCTTAGTACAAAATATAATACTAAAAAGAAATAAAGAAACAGAAATGAACGGGAAAACATTTCCATGCATAACACAAAGCTTTTCTTTGGGGAATAACGATTTCTTTTTAAATCTTCTGGCCAAATTCAAAAACATATTAATTCAAAAGAGTGTTTAATGGACACTGACTCTTCTATATTTAAATCATTTCGTCAAATTAGACGACAAAGCCCATCCTGCCTTTTAGCCACGTTACAAAAATAAAGGTGTACCGCCCGGCGAAGCTTAATTAGCAAATCAAATATTCATTTATTCAGGGCGCACCTGATAATGCGAGGGTGGATCGCAACAATAGGATGCGGAGCTGTTCCTGTGACTCCTTGATTTAAAAATATTGCCAACCACGGCAACCTCTGTTGTTTTGTAATTTACATTGTGTACCGACTTGAGATTGACTAACGATCTATATTTAATTGTATTCCGTTGTATTCTATTGATTTACAAA